ACACAGCCCTTGAAAATGACAAATGGGAACAAATGAAGTAACCATTAAGAATGATGTATAACTGGATATTGAAAATAAAGAGCTCAGTTCAAGTTTTCTCCTTTCTTGGTGGAAACTGCCTTTTCTGTTCTTGAGTTCCTTTGTTGGGCAGTTATCGAGTTGGGTATTACACTGTGACTGCATTGAAGATGTACTAAATAAAACACGAAGAATATCCCATCCATTGAGACCTACTAGATGAAGACCCTGGTGTATGCAGTGCGGTGTATAAAAAGGCCTTTTGTATTTAAGATAAGGTATATGGAGTTCTATTAAAATCTTAATGAAAAAACATTCTCATCTGCCATAGCAGGTCAACAAACAAGTCTTTCCAGAATGTTTTGTTAAAGGAATTAGAAAGATCAAAGCAACTATTTGTCTAGAGAAGGAGAAAACAAATGAAGTTCAAGAAAATGACAAAGTTATTTGAGACTCTAAGCCAGGATGATAAGAAGTGTAGAGCCCTGGCCCTACCACCTCTAGCGTTTGACAGAACTGAAGCTCCAGCCCTGGCCTCTTCAGCAGTTTCCCTATGTTTCTAGCACATGTTCCCTCATCTGTAAAATGGAGACCTTAAAGCTAACCTGACTGGGTAATCGAGAGATTAACTGAACAAAGCACTTAGAGCTTCTCAGTAAATGATTAGCTCTGATTAAGATCCTGTCTTCAGGACTAAAGGAAGGACACTGGCAGGGTACGAATGCCCCAGTCTCTGCTGTAGGCACCAAGCCAGGGGCTTCCTCACATGGTTTCTCTTCCTCTCAACAACACAGGAGATACTTTCTAATCTTTTGTAGCTCTGGTTATCCTTTGCTGGAATAAATGATTAAGATGGCCAGTGTGTAAAGAGAAACAGTCTTTTCTTAGCTCGCAGTGTGGAGGTTGTGATTTGTGACTTGACAAGACAGACTCTGTGAGGGACAGAGGGCAGCATGTTATTATAGAAGCATGGGGCAGAAACGAACTAACTGCCCACCTCGTGGCTAAGCTGCAAGGGGATGTGGGTTTCGTGTCTCCGCCTATCACCTTTCACAGTATGCCCCAATGGCATGCTATGCTGTCTGGAAATTTACTCTGCTAAACAAATTAGTCTGTCGCTGTTGATTCAGCCTCACTAGAATTCCCAGCACACCAGTAAGATGTGGCTGGGAGGGAATAGTGACTGTCTCAAGTTCACTCCGGAGCCTTGTGAGTGGCCTGCTTACTATCCGAATTTCCATAGGCAGTCTGCTTTTTTACAGACCCACCCTTAGGCTGTTCAGTGCCAATCACAGCATTCTAGAATTTCTTTAGACAACACCTCTAACTGCTCCGCATTCCTCCCATAAGCGCGTTCCAAAACTCTGAGGACAACACGGTCAGTCGAGCTGCTTCATCGAAACCACAGGGCTTCTCTGTGCCAATAGTCTACATTCGCTACTTTCCTATCATCGCTAACAAGAACCTGACAGGAAGCACTTTCAGTGGGAAGGACTGCGTTGTGTTTGCTCATGCTTTGAGGGAAAGTGTGGTGGTGGCAGAAGCAGCGGGGTTGCAGTGATGGGAACTTGGTTGCATTTATATAATCTTCACAAAGAGGGTCACTTGCTGAGGACAAGTCATTAGATATGTGAATCTGTGGGGAACAGTTTACATTTAAAGCCTAACCACTTTGTAAATGGTTGGCAGTGTTCTATGTATCCTAAATTAAATATAATATTTAAAACAGGGGTGCTTATTACTTTTGGTGTCCATTTCACACAAGATAATGTAACTACACTATAATACTTTGATTTTTTTTCTTCCCCCACAATGCTGTGGGTACTCTTTCTAATTCCACTTACTTTGTCAATAATGCAAAATGTATAATGATATTACAGGGCTGCGTTTGAGCTTTTAAAAATCATAGTTTCGAGGCTATCACCTTCTAAAATAAACATGACTTGCTTTAAGATGGGCCAACCATGCTATTTAACTCTGAAAGGGTCTAGGCATTTTTTTTTT